GAAAATTTATACTCCTTAGGAACCTGTCAAGGGATTTGGTTGAAACAAAGAGTAAAACTTCATAAAAACTGGTTGAAGATTTATACTTCTAATCCAACCATTCAATATGACTTTGTAGTAAATTAAATGGCATCATATATTATTACCGTCTAGCTCTTATCGATTTTCCATAACTGATAATATATTATCCTCTACATTTACGTATCGTATCTCTAAATAGAGAGATGGGTTCCAATATTGAGGTGGTACATAATGTGGTACAGAAATGTGATCTCATTACTCATATTGCGTACAGTCGACACCATGATGAATAGCATTTCCATGACAAAGATCATATATAATAACAAGAATAAGCCTTTTGATAATACTATAATTCATAACAATAATTAATACAAACAAACACTACAATAAGCCAACAAAGAAAGAATTCATTTTTAAAAAAAACATCCACAGAAGAAACCATCATATCATATATTCTGAAGACTCCCCAGCACAGACAAGAAACTAGATTGTATACTTCTACTAGTAATCATGGAGCAAGTGGTTTAATTGGATGGGGGTGGGGAGAAGAATGGAATCGATGGAATTGTTGTTGGAATGGTGGGGATTGAAGGGATTGTTGAGGGGAATGAGGGAAGTGGGTTGGCTGGCAATGGAGGGAGCACCGTAGGCAATGTGGATTTTGGCAAAGATGGGATTTGGGGTTGGAAGGTTGGCAATGGGGGCAGAGTAGTTGGGAGAGTAGGCAATTGGGTAGACGGCAACGGTGGCAAGGTGGCCGGCTTTGGCAAAGTTGGAGCAGTTGGAAGCGTAGGCAATGGGGTTGAGGGAAGTGGAGGCAATGTGGTCTTGGGCAAAGTTGGGGCAGTTGGAAGTGTAGGCAAGGTGGTTGAGGGCTTGGGAAGTGTTGGTAGTGAAGGCAATGGAGGCAGCTGAGTGGGATTTGGCAGAGAGGGGATTATAGGGATTGCCAGTGTTGGGGGTGGAGCTGCTGCTGGTGTGTCCAAAAGGTGGCGAGCTGCATGAATCATTTGGGTGCTTGAGGCTGACAAAATCACCACCAGCAAAGACGAAATGAAGAAAAGCTTGGGAAAAGCCATGGTTGAGTTGAAGGAGCTGCTAGGGCTATAGGCAAGTCTCTCTGTTAATATGTTGTTTGCTTGTTGTGAAGAGCATACAATCTCCAATGGGGTTTTTATAGAGAAAATATGTGTCAAGACTTTGAGGAGAACGTGGAAGCATCTACATGAGTGTTTTTTTTTTGGTCAAATCTACATGAGTTTGATGAGTTGTGGTTGTAGGAAGTGGGAAAAAAGCAACAGTTAGCTCACCTCCCTAACTTAATGTGTTCCATATTCAAAACCAAACTAACTCAAAAGACTAGGGCATAAACTCGCGCCATGTGTCCTCCGTTTGATTATAATCACCATTTTGGGTATTTGACAAATAAAATCTTACTTACACCAGATGTTATTACGACGGTATTTCAAATTAATCACACACTATCATGTAATTTTTTTTTTAACACAAAAATATGTGGTTTACATGACGTAATTGACTTGAAATATAGCATCCCTTTATATGAAAGTTCTTATCTATAATCCATGACAATACATTCTCTGTGTTGACCAAAGCATTAAAGGAAAGACAATACATTTTGACACCCTTTCTACTCTTGGGCCGCTTTGGGGCATGTGTTGAATGTATCATTTCAAACAATAAGGTAATAATTCCATCCGCCTTTTTGGTTTTTTTTTTTTTTTAAAAAAAATTATTTCTGAATTAAGAAGACTTCAGAAATATTTCGAACAGATTTATCACTTTAGTAAACGACACGTTCCTCAGAGTCAGAGAACTCTTTCGAATACCATGTGATATCAACTATCGTCTACAACTAGATCACCTTCACACTTTTATTTTTTAATATTTTGTTTGAAAAGATGGTCATTTAAACTTGTAATATCTTTCAACAAAATGAAGAGAAAGATTGCCTACATCAACATTCTATTCCGAATAATTAATTATACATGTTTTTTATTAATACAAGCCATAATCTAAATTATAAGAGGGAGTGGGGATTTCTCACACATAATACTAAGATGGCATGGAGGTTCGAAACTGAGTACACTAGTCTGCCACCATTTTCACTACACTAGACCCATTGGCAATTAATCACATATGTTTTGGTCATGCATTGGCACTTGCAAGCCCAAATCATACAATAAGTAGCCGACAGTACCAACATAAACACAAACGTAGACTACAATGATTGAGAAAATTAAAGAATTTTTTTTTTCTGCTCTTTTTAAGCTTGCATTATTGAGTGCACTTTAGTTAGGCAATATTTAATTACCAACCAAAATTATCAATAATTCCCAAAGCCACATCACAAATATGCTTCAAACCCTCCTCTCTTCTTGCAAGTTCTGGAGGATAAGCCAAAGCTGGGTACCTTTTGAAAGCATTGTGGCAAGCATTTGGGTAGTCAGCAGCTGCATTGATGTGCATGGAAGCATAATCATAAGACTCCGAGGCCAAGTCCTGCACTGACGCTTGGAGGGCATCTCCAGCAAAGCCATACTTATCAGCACACTCCTTGAGCACCTTCTTCATGTTTGTGTCATTGTTGCTTGACCTCACTAGTTGAGAGGACAAGTAAGATGAGGTGGCAGTTGCATTTGCCATCCCAATCCCAACCATAATAACTGCCAATCCCTTTGTGTCTGCAGTTTTGCTTGTGGGATCAGATTTGAGGGTTGAGACACAGAAACCATAGTATTTGGTGTTCTTGCAAGTTTTCTGGATCAAATTTGAGTCAGCAGTCACAAAGAAATTATGGGTTTGGTGAGGAAATGCAAGGGAAAGAAGAAAGAGAGAGAAAATAATAGAACCCATGTGTGAGAATGTTATTTTTCTTTGGATCTAGATTTTCTTGTGGAGGAAGAGAGCGAAGGAAAGGCAGATAAGGATTGAAGGCGGGTACAGGTTTTTTTTTAAAAATTATTTTTTCTGTGGTTGCAACTTGGGATGTAAGAGATCTATTGGGTGCTTTGACTTGTGTCACAAATGAGCTGTTTTCTTTTTGCACTTGCTTTATTGAATTAAAAGAAGGAGAGGGGCTTTATTTGGCAGAAAGCCATGAAAACGATGCTAGTCATGAGGCCTTGTTTGGCAGCTACCTAAATCCCAAAACATGAGTCACGGGTCACAGATAACAAAAACAAGCAGTTGAGACCCTCAATCCAATGTTCTTTTCTGATGAGTTCTGAAATGCTTTGGTTTTTATATATGGAATCTTGATGAAATGACAGAGTGAAGAAAAAGAGCTTGGGAAAGGCGAAGGCCATCATTGAGTTTTAGGAGCTTTATATAGAAAATTTATGTTTCAACAGTTAGTAACTTATTTATTCAGCAATTACTTTATATTTAATTTACTTATGATTTTATGCATTTGATCGTTATGAGGTTAATTTGTGTTTGGCTTGAGATTGCTTATTTGGTCATCAATTTTCAAGTTGTTGTGTTTAATGCAAGTTGAAGGATGACCTAAAATGTAGACGGTCCGATTGTTAAACCACATTGTTTGGGTAACCTTGTTGTTGGAATGGAGGGCATTGAAGGGATCGTAGTTGGGATAGTTGACAATGGAGTGGCAGGAAGTGGAGGTAGAGTTACCTTGGGGGCAGTAGGGATGGAAGGCAATGTTGGAATATTTGGCAAAGGGATTTTTGGGTTCTTGGGATCAAAGGGGTGGTTGGCAATGTGGGTTTAGGCACTGTAGGAAAGGAAGGCAGTGGAGGCATAGTGGACTTGAGAGTGGGAAGAGAGGGAATTGTAGGGAGTGGCAATGCCGGGGGTGGGGCCGCCGTATACAAGAGGTGCCGAGCTGCCAGGCTCATATCAATGCTTGATAAACACAATGCTGATATCACCACAGATAGTAGGAAACAATGCTTGAAAGCGGCCATTGCTTCTTGCTTGATATGTAAGGAACTTGTGTTATTTGTTTTGAATGGAAGGGTTACATTCCTAATAGGTTTTTATAGGGAGTGAAAGTCGATAGGTTTCTCGGTGTTTGATGAAATCTGGTTGTGGTAGTGTTGAGAGGTAGTGGGTGGTTCACCTTCTCAAAATGGCTCGCAGCCTAATCAATTTAAAACCACCAACACACCCTTTTAGGGTATTGCTTAAGCAGTCTCTCATGGATCAAAAGAGAAGGTATCTTTTGCTAGTTTTGATCTTCAAATATCAATTTTGAATAGATTTTGTGTGTAAAAATATGATGCATGTGAATTCTTCAAATTGTTGCTTGATTCAAATTTCATTCATTTACTTAACATTTGCATTGTATTGACGAGCCAATGCCATCTTGTTAAATTTGAATTTGCGATGAATCTGGTTACTCTTCAACCGCCCCAGGTTTTACTTCAGGTGTTGTGAACAGTGTTTGATATTATATGCTAGTTTTGTTCCAAATATAATCAGAATAATGTTCGAAAAATAGCTGAATAACATACACTAATTACTACCTCATTGTATGTTTAAATTACTACAATTCATATAAATGAAACGTCGCAATACTTGAAAGTTAACTTGAGCCTGCTGAGACACTGAAATTTTCAAATAACCATACAATGTTGTATCCAATAGGACTGGCAGCCATTTTTTTTCTGTAATGGGAGAGAAGGTTTGAAAGCACTTATTTTGGATCTATATGAAGAAGAACGACCAGTTATATAGGGAGAGAGAGAGAGAGAGAGAGAGAGAGAGAGAGAGAGAGAGCTGATAAGTGGTGTTTGATGAGATGTGGTTGGGAAAGCTTTGTATTCCAATACTAAGAACGGAAAACAAAATGCAAGCCACATGAAGATTTAGAACTAAAGGGTGGGCCTTACAGCGCTAGCATAAATGCCAAACAACCCAGAATCATTGAAGATGCTGCCGATTGTATTTGGAGTTCGAGTATGACTACTTTGCTACTTCTCAGAATCACTCGATTAGTAAACAGCAAGTGGAGTGCATAAGTCCCTTTAGAGATAGGGCGAGTACTACACGAGCTCGTAAGTAAAGTACGGAATCATGTGACTTGACCACCTTACTATAGAACCACCTGGTCAGACCAAGAAGAAACACATAGCAAAATGTTTAAAAGAAGGCAATTTTTAAAATGGAATCGATCTCTGGATTAAACAGCTATGACTATCAGGCCTAGACTTGACACGATGTCTGATCCAAGAAGAACACAATGCAGTGGGCAGCATAAAATGATAGTTCAGCACTAAATTTTAAACTTGCACCCAAGTCCATAAAATAAGAGCATATTTCTTCTCATATAACGAAGGCTGTCCTATGTACAACATGTCAGGTAAACAAGCAACCTTCAAGAATAAGTTAATCTTACTAGTTTGATTAATAAATTAAATATCTCTAAACAATCTGCAACTGGTTTAGAGATTTTTCTGTATATTGGGGTCTTACCTGTAGCAAATGATTGCTTCCAAGCACAGCAGACGTAAAACGTATGTACCAGTCTTGAAATGCTTCATCATGAAAATGTCTACACTAGCTAAGGCTGTTTCAGCGCTTATAGAACACTAAGTCACGGCTACAATGGCTTTTGATAGCATCCTCCAATTTCTCAATACGGTCAAAATCAACTTGGAAAGTAACCATGGTGATGCCATCTTTACCAGTCTCATAATCTTGCTTGATGTCTTCAACTTGAAAAGACTGTAGCTGTAAACATCAAAATACAAGAAATGGGTATACTTAATAAATTTGATCATCTGAACGCAAAAGGAGGAGCTATTGTCATGCATCTGAACCAGCTCACCTGATGGTATAGAACGCCCAAAAGATCAAATGAAACCTCCACACCCATTCTCACCTACAGAGAGAAAGGATAAGATCATATATTTCAAAATTTTAACAATGCAGAAAAGGAATTTCTTTTGGGGTGAAAAACTTAATACGGCTTTAATTCAAACCAAATGAAATTAATCCAGACATTTGTGAGCTTTGGTCCCAAGGTGTTGAAATACAAGCTCCAAATACGAGGCAAAAGAAGAAAACCCCAATCCATTTTATGATACTAATAGAGTAGATTACAATTTACAACCAAGAATGGACCGATATCGATATAGGGAAGTTCTCTCCCGTTCCAGTCTCCTTGCTTTCTGAAGCAGTAATTTTTTTTTTCCTGTCAAGTAACTAAACAGGACAACTTTGACATACCAGTTGGAATAAGAGCAAGAAAGCTAATTAATACCTTGGATTTTACAAGACAAGTTGGGGCATTTCTCAAGCATTCTGAGGCAACTCCTCCATAAGCCCTGACAAGTCCTCCAGTACCCAATTTAATACCTCCAAAGTGCCTACGAAAAATAAATAAAATACAATGTAAAACCCAATAATAACAGAGACAGCACAGAACAGTGTGCATACATACTTAAAGAATAAATTCGTCAAACAAATGCAAGTGAAAGAAAGCATTTTGCAGTGGAAAACAAATCAATTTACCTGATGACGACCACCATAACTCTATCAATTCCTGAAGATTCAATAGCAGTATGAATGGGTTTTCCGGCTGTTCCCGACGGTTCACCATCATCATTAGACCGGTATTGATCTCCAACCTGATCAATTGCTCACCGGATTAATTAAAAAATGCCAATAACCAACCAAAAAGACAATGACAGTTTACAAAACCTAACCCAACCAACCTTGTACGCCCAGCAATTGTGAGTAGCACGTTGATCTCGGACCTAAAACAACAATCCATCATTTACAACGGTTCTTAATTTTCAAATTATTTTCTTTTTTGAAGAAATTGAAGAAGAAGAAGAGTGAAAGTACCTGGGAGAGGAAGGATTGAGCGGATTGTTCGTCGGGGATGGGACCAGCGATGGCGATGAACTTGCTCTTCTTGATCTCCTTTTCGAATCTCACTCTCTCTTTGATCGTCGTATACGCGCCACCATTGCTGCTGCTGCTGCTTGCGGCGGTGGTCACCATGGCCTTGCTGGCTCCGGCGGCTATGCAGCCTATGCCTAAAATTGAGGCACAAATGCGAATGCTGCGATTTTGCTTAATCGGCGCTGCCCTCTGGTGGTAAATGAGATTGTATTTTGTTAATGCTACTGCTGGCATTTGATTTGGGTTTGAAATTCCTTTTTGCTTATTATATCCTTTTACTCATCTTGTCACCCACTGCTCTCTCTCCTCTGCTTATGTTCTGGTAGTGGTGGGGGAGATAATCCAAACGGTGTCGTTTTACTTGTCGTGGCCCCTGTTCTTTCCTCAGACAAGACAAGGCAAGAACAAGGGTACGGAAAAATGGATTTTCGTATTGTGTATGATACTAAAATATAACCTGTCCACAATTCGTATTTTCCAGTTTAGGGTATAGTGTCAATAAGACTTGTATTAGAGCACCTCCAACCCAAAGGGCAAGGGCAAGGGCAAGGCAAAGGCAAGACAAGGTTTGTAACTATTCACGTGAATATGACAGCCCTTGTCTTTTTTGTTTCCATCTCAAAAGGCAAGGCAATTACTATTCACTTTAATTTATTTTCTATTTTTTATACTTCAACCATTAATTTTGATAAGCTTTTCAAATAAGATTTTTGATTGCCATGTGTCACTATTTATTATAAAATTCTCACCTAAAATTTCAATAACATTTTCCGATAAAATTTTTGAATTAAATTTTCGGATAAGATTTTAAGTCGCCACGTGTCCATATTTTGTTATAACATTCATATCTCAATTTTCGGATAAGATTCTCGATTGCCACGCGTCGATATTTATTATAAAATTCTAATCTCAGATTTCAGATAAGATTTTCACCCTCTAAAATTGCACCACGTGTCATCTCTATCTTCTAAATCCCTCTATAAAACTACACTCTCAACTTATACCTCCCACACCATATATTCTTTATCTTTTCATTTCTCATATTTTACAAAACACATTCTACTCTCAATGTCTAACCTAATGAGGGTGTTGGAGACGCAACAGTGAGAAGATGAAGAAATCAGGTGCAGACGTGTTGATGAAAATCATGAGTTGGATGAAGAGGAGGAAGAAGTTGTTTTAGCGATGTGTATGCTCAATCAATCAAGGCAACACCACTGTCGTCGTGCCTCGAACGTGGACAGACATAGGCACTCTCGGGGTAAGAATCTCTTGGAAGATTACTTTATCCCAAATTCGTTATATCATGTTTCTTATTTTCGAGAGAGATATAGAATGCAGCCCCATTTGTTCCAAAAAATTATGCAAACTTACAGCTGCTTTACGGATGCTTGCATATGGGGCATCTGTAGACCATGTGGGTGAGATTGCTAGGATGGGGAAATCAACTATCCTAGAGTGCTTGGTCAGATTCTGTGATGCAATAGAAAATCTCTACACGAGAGATTACCTCCGCAAACCTACGCCTAGGGACCTCCAAAGGCTTCTACGAAAAGCCAAAGCTCGAGATTTCCCAGGCATGATTGGAAGCATCGATTGCATGGCAGTGGAAGAATTGCTCAACTGCTTGGCAAGGAAATTATGGGAATAGAAAGGGCAAAAAAAGTATAATTCTAGAGGCCATTGCATCATTCAACACTTGGGTTTGGCATGCCTTTTCCGGAGTTGTCGGATCTCAAAATGACCTCAATGTGCTTGGTCAATCACTGGTATTCAACGATGTCTTGAGAGGTCATTCCCCCTAGATCACGTATCGAATCAACAATACCGCGTACTCGGGTGCGTACTACCTAGCGGACGAAATTTATCCGAGGTGGACGACATTTCGTCAAAACAATTCCGAATCCCCAATTGGAGAAGGAAAAAAGCTTTGATGCATTTCAGGAAGGTTATAGGAAAGACGTGAAAAAGTGTTTTGGTATCTTGCAAGCTTGTTGGGCAATTATTAGGAGTGTTGCTCGTATGCTTGATGAGGAGGTGCTTCAGAGCATTATGATGACTTGCATCATCCTCCATAACATGATTGTAGAGGATGAGTATGATTATGATGCTCTAGAGGTGTTCGAACCTGATCCCATGAATACGGCATTGACAAGAATTTATGAAAGGCCCATGGGAGCAAATGGACAACCAATGGAGCACGAACTGTTGATTAGGGATGATCGATACAACAACCTTATGATTGACCGTTATCAAGAAATGCAATCTTTGTATGTTCACGAGAGACATCAAGTTGACTTGATCGAGCACTTATGGGATATGAAAGGCAATCACGGTGGATGAAGTCAAGTTTAATGCTTTGTTTGGAATTATGCTTTGTTTTGTGTATGGTTTGTAATGAATTAAGGTCTATTTTTAATTATGCTTTGTTTTTTGTGTGGTTTGTAATGAATTAAAGTTTGTTTTGATATATGAAATGTTTTTAATAAATAGCTATATTATTTCTTTATTCAATAAAAGAGAAATAATACAACAAATTACACAAATGGAATTTAGTGAAGGATAAAAATATTTAGTGTGGAAAGTGAAAAATATTTGGAGGAGAAGAATTTTTATGAAAATTTGTTGTGAAAAGTGAAAAATATGGGTAGGTATTTATAGAAAAAAAAAAATTCATAGTTTTTTGGTTTTTTTTTTTTAAAATTTCGACCCGTTGGATTTCTAAGAAATCCATCATCGAAGCATCCAGAAAGCGCCACGTGGCTTCTTTCCGTTAGTTTCTATCAGTCGCTTACGTTAGTGTGACATTACGACTGACATCAGCAGCCTTCGGGGTAAAGCCCAGGCAATTCTTCCCACCCCTTGCCCGGGCTAGACCTTGCACGCCGGATGAGTTTTTTGGGTCTAGGCCCCTCATTGCCTGCCCTCCCCCCTTGCGGTGGAGGTGCTCTTATTGACACTTGTACGGGTTATATCATACCATATTATAATTATTCAAAAAAGGACCCCATGAAACATTAATATGATTGACTTCTTTAAATTATGTCAGTGTTGGTAATAAACCTTAGTGACTTTATTATCCTATTTCCTACTCACATCTCAGCTCAAACCTCAATAAAACCTTAGTGACTTTATTATCCTATTTCCTACTTACATCTCAGCTCAAACCTCAATAAAATGTTTGAGCTGATCCTTTTGCTTTTCCATTTGCTCTTCTTACATCCCCAACGGGTGGAATATTGGACCATACAAATTTCTGCTGGTCAATTTCCCTACTTCTACTCCTGCTACCACTGCTAACTAATCCGAGGTTGACTTTCTACGATGTCTACTTCTGTCGCTACACAAAACTGTTGAGGTTCTTTCTCCGTACAAGCCGGTCATCGCCGCTGATGAATGCCTGCTATATTGGCTGTACCAGTCGGGTCCCATTTCGCCAAATATGTAATCAGAGAGATCTTCATTGCTGGAAGAGTCCTTGGTGCTCACGGTGCTACAAGAACTTGCATCTGACGAGCTGAAAATGGATGAACTCTCACTTGATGAATCCAAAGAAGGAAATCTGTGCGTTGAATGGAATCTCCAATCATCTGGATCTTGATTTAGTGATTGATTGCTGATGAGACTTGGAACCACGGAATTAGATCTCGATTTGGATTTGGTATGGCTGGAAGGAACAGCTTCCAAGTTCCTTCTCTTCAATTTCTCACCATTGGAAACGGCAGTACTTCCAAGAAAGGCCGGGGGCCGTGGAGTGCGCCTAGAAACATTAAATCTTAAGGTGTTTAGGACAAAACAAAAATAGACGATCATTTGTAAACTGGGCTCCATAGGCATGTTACCTTGCATAAAGAAGCATGTATGCCCCTTGGGATAACACCCTCTTTAAATCCACAGGTTCAACCTACAAGATCATGCGTGTTCAAGAAATTTAAATAAAAAGTTAAAAACATCTCAACCCAATAATCATCAGTGTTCGGACTTGCATTTTTTATTTCCCATGAATCACACGTCTAGAAGAAGTTCAAGCACATGGATGCATACATGCAAAATTCATTAGCAGGTTTCCCGTCTTTCCCTGGCCATAAATTGGAGATATGCAAAATACCAGAAAACAATGTATTATAATCAACTTCATCCAAGGACATAACAACAGATATATGCCTCCTATAAACAGGGATTCAAGCAGTGAGACAGTTCCGCCCAGAAAGCAACAAATTAACATCAGGCCCTAACTAAGACAGAAATATGAGAAATGAAAGGAATACATACTGAACTGTCATCAATCTTGAACCACTCCCCCTGATTATTCTTTACATAACACACGTAATGGCCTGAATATGCAGCATTCATAATGTCCAAGTGAACAACCACAGCATAAAGACTGTACAAAGCAGATCTATCACTTGTTCCACCCATATATGGTGACATGTTGAGAACCTCTGGGAACCGTACCGACTTATTCAGCTTCTCAAAGTTACAAGACTGCAGTCATGGATGGTAAAGAGCACACGATAATATTTCTAAAAAAATACATGACAAGCAAAGTTCAAAAAAAATATAAAAGAATTTTAATTACCTGAAAACGCTTCAACACAATTGTAAGGATATTTGGTGCCTCCATAACTGTTAATTTCTTTTTGGCTTTTTCATAAGATTTACACCTTCACAAATGTTGGGAACAAACAAGCATCAAAGAATTAGAAGAGTGGAAAAAAGAAGACTTGAGACCCACCTGAAAGAATACTTTATATAAGTAACATACTGAATCTAAAAATTTGTCAGGCCACCTAAGAAGATGGGTCAAATTGCCCAACCAAAGCGAGGAAAAAATAATTTTTGAACTAGCAGTGATGTAGGTGAGCACTCTGAGATCATATTGCACTAGAATCTCCATATTTACATGGTTCCTCAGCTATAATCAGGCCACAAGTGTTAAGGCCTGTACAGAAACACCTCAACAAAAGAACAACAAACAGAAGTGTTAAGCAAAGACACAGGTGTGTGATCATTGGGTGACAAGCCCACCATTGCCCCCCGTCCCCCCCAACCTACCTTTCTCTCTCTATCTCTCCCAGTCCACAACCTATATAGTTGGTTGGCAGCCCAATTAGAAATTAGAAATAAAGCAACTATGCCATGAAGATAGTTGCTAACCATGATCTAGGTGTTGGGCATTGAAATCAGATGTAATAAGGGCCACAATGATAAAATAAGAGTTTTATCCCACAACTGAACAAATAAATAAAATTTATAATGGTGCAAATGAACCAACCTGCTACAATGGTACCTATTTTTTCCATCCAAAGTTTCAGTAGCCGTAAATTGTGCTAGAGCCTCTTCAAGAGTTCCAATTTCCCCGTCAATTTCGACAGTAAGATCCATCATCTGCTCAAATCGCTCAGATTTTCCAAGGCACTTCATACACGTTATCTGAGAATTCCAATCATGGCATCCCAAGAAATACCATTATTTATTTTTATTACAACATCAGAATGCACTTGTACATTTGTAAGTGAACAAAAACCCAAAAACATGTAAATTTTGACAAAATATCAAAAAAGTAACAACCATAGATCGAAGGTAGCCTCCAAAAGTCATGCCTACTAGAGTTGTTTCTTCTGCCAAAGGACCAACAGCCCCGGCTTCCTTGAGGCAAACAGATTGCATGGTATCAACAGCATACCTGCCATCTTAGTAATTGGTGAAATGATACATATTCAAAAGAGGAAGAGTAGATCATGCAACAAAGTTCTATCTGGTTGTCTTTAGCTGGCTCACCTCAAAAATTCATGAGCATCTTCTTCCCTTCCACGGCCAAGATTACTTCCAATTTTATGTATTTTAGATAGTATCCTGATCGGGGACAGTAAAGACTTCCCTTCCTTTGCCTTCATAAGAAGAATTTCAAACTCACAGATAAAACACCAGTCATGCTTTTGACCTGGCACAGGGGTAAAATTTGTCAATGGAAAGGCCATCAAACACATGGTCCTAACAATTAAACTGGCTGTAAAAATTATAAAATTTATAAAAAAATAAAAACAAGTGTAGGAGTCATGAAGAGAAACTTGCATGCTCTAGAATGAAGCCCTTGAAGAAGATAAGAAGCAAGAGGCCGAGTAAATGCTAAACACTGGAGCACCGCATTAGCATAACAGCTGACAAAATCCAAATAAATAAATAATAGTATTATCAGCGAAAAATTCAATGAACTTCTATTAAAATTCGCATAAGAAAAATCTAAAGAGTTTTAACAGACCCGACAAAAGGATTTACAGAAGCTGAAACTGGTTAAACTCTAGTCTAGAGCATGAAAATGATTTATTTCTATATGTTTAATATGTTCTGTGCAAAAATAACTCTCCACATCACCTGTTCCCACAATTCATAAGGCCAAATGGACAAAGATCCACATTGTCATAGGAGTACAGTTTCACGAACAGTTCATACGGAAAAATTACCTGTCAATAATACAGTATAAAAACAAAATTGGTATCCAATCGATAACAGAGGAAACTACTAGTAAAGGAATCAATACAAATTTGACAATAACCTTGTATTTTCCAACAGTCTCTTCTCCACGACCTGAGAGGTTGGATTTCAGTTGTTTCGAGGATTTAAACTGCTGCACAACTTTCCTCACAGAAGTTTTCAATCCATTACAAGCATTTTGTGGCAAGTTTGGGATACTACCAACTTTTTCATTTGTAGGCAATGCATGATAAGCTTCAATCTTTTCATATCTAGAACTGGAATACATATGCTCTCCAGTGGTTGAAGATGGCCGATCAATAGAAACCCTATGTGACAGAGATTCTTCTTCTTTAGACTCATCTTCTGTGTCATTACTTGATGAGCTCTTGGACTTACAGGCATCAGTATGTTTCTTTTCTGATGAAATAGGTCTTCTGGTCAGCTTCTTACTGCCAATATTCTCAGGCTGAGCATCACCAGATATGTTTTTCTTGGCTTTGGGAATTTTTGGTGTAGATTCAACCTCTTTATCAGTATGACTGGATTTCATTTTACTTAACTTATTTGCATGTGATATGTCCTCCTGAATATTCGCCAACTTAGCGCATCCTGAGGGTAATGACATATTCTCAAGCTGATCAGGAGCAACACCATCAGAAAGAAGTTTCTCTCTGGCATCCCAAGATGCAGTTCTGAATGTGGTTAAATTAGCTTGTGATCCTTTTCCATCTGCGCAATGGTTAATTCAATCATCATCATCCAATCATGAAAGAATGAAGCTTCTTAAACCAATTGAGACTAGTACTGTATCTCAAAAATGATTACCGTGATGAGATATTGCTTCACCATCGAAGTCACTCCTGTCTTGGAACTGCACGGCATCAATTGAAGGCTGACATTCATCTTTGTGACCTTGTCTCCAATGAATGATTTGACACTTACCAGAACTACAAGAAAATGTTCAAGTGAAAACAATGTTTAACTATATCTATGCTAGCATGTGTAACCACCAAGGCAAGAATGAGAGCGATTGTCCACATCCCATGGTAATTCAGAGTTCAGAGAGTTAGACATACAGAAAGGCATCATCGGAAGCCCAAAATATTATAGTTAAATCTGGTGATAATGTCTTCAAAACTAAAATCAAATCAAATCTTTCCCGTAGGAGCTAGCAGCCAGATCCAAATATCAAATCATGTATATTTTCCTATTTATAATGTTTCCTCAACACAAAATAATAATAGTACTAATAATAATCCAAGGGCATAATCTCACGCAATAGAATTTTGATACACAAGCAACACACTAGCTGGACAATTGCAATTTCTCAATTAAACAGCAAGCTGAATCCATCACATAATTCAAACAAATACTTAAACATCGTCCAGAAAAAGCATAAAATAAAGCTAAAAAGAAACAATAATTAAAAGAAAAACGAACCAGTATCGGACAGCCTTGCATTTAGAGCAGCGCATTGTGGTGCTGGCATAGCAGACGGCACAGTGGTACGGCAAGGACACCGGCTGCACAACCGGAGCGTAAGGAGACGTGGCCTGAAACTCAGCGACAGCGGTCTCTTCGGAAGCCATAGCCACAAGACGCATGATTTCCTCTTTATTGACCACCGCATTCTTCCACTTGTGACGAATCACAAGGAAACAGGCCAGGACGAGGAGCAGTAGGAGGCCCTGAAACCCTAGAATTCCAGGGACCAGCATTGATCCAATTCGTCGAGTCAGTTGATCTTATCCGGCGCCAAGGATGAGACCAGAACACAGAAACCCTAGAATGTCTTTTCTGCTATACATAAATCCGACGGCGGTGGCGGTGAGGGGGTAGGGAGAGGAAATGGGGGAAATTTGGAGGTGCAGAAAGGGAATTTGTGTGAGGGTAGTGTTGTTGGTGATGGAAGTGCGAAGGAAGCATCTGGTGGATGTAGGTGTGATGTGGATGGTAAGGTGAGATAGAAGAGCAGGAGGAGGAGAGAGATGGAATGGGAGGGAATATAAGACGGATCGGATCCGAGAGTGGACTGTCGGGTGTCGACGATTGGGTTTTTTTTCAAATTGTCAGTGATTCTCCCTCTTTGTCTTCTCCCGGTTAAACCGTATTTTACCGCGTACACAATTATGGAAGCTTTTTATCATAGTTTGCTCATAAATTTTCAAATATGCTGCAATTTGGGCATTAATCTCCGCTTAAAGAACCAGTCCAGCTCAGTAGCGAACATTTTCCTCCATATTGAAACCCTATCCCATAAGAGTGACATTTTTATGGAGGAAAATGTCAGTTTCATAGCTGGGTTGGTCGTTTTAGAGTATTTCCAACCGATGTGTCAAAAGTGCCACATAGACATTTAACGGCTAAAACTAACATCTCACATCACTCCAACCGATGTGTCAAAACTGATGTGGAATGAAGGCTGGAGGTTGAGATGTTATTTTTGACATCTCAAAAGCAAGATGTCAAATGAATATCTTTTTATTTTTTATTTTATTTTATTTTTAATTAAAAATAAATTAACACTAAAATGTAATAAAATAATAATTTAATTTGACATATCGGGTGGAGTGTAAAGTTGTGTAAGATGTCAAATTACCATATCAGCCATCAAATTTAAATTTGATGTTTGTTATTTGACATCTCCCTTAAAGATGCTCTTAGAGGAGACTAGTGTCCAAATTGACAAATTTACACCTCAATTTGACGGCAAATTTGACTTAATTTGATGGTGGGATCAATTTGACACAAAAGCGAGAGTTGGAGGATCACTTGAGTGAAAATTATCAAAGAGACTATAATGAGAAGTTTAAACAAAGTGAGGAGGCTATCTGAGAAGGTCAATCTCACCATCAACAAATGTAAAGAAATCATGGGACTTAAACATTTTAAATATTTTGATGGTAAGATTGGCCTCCTTAGTTTAAACTCTTCATTGTAGCATCTCCCGAAAATTATAAGGAAAAGTTGGAGGATGAGTAGGGTGGGCCTCACTATTTAAGGCCCAATGGCATCTCCATTTCGGGCCCAATGATCATACTTAAAGGCCCAGAGAATAGTTACTCTCTATAAAAGGGGGGCTGGCCTTCTCATAAAACTCTCTCTCTCCGGAAATTTGTTTTTAAATCGAAACTCTCTCCGGATTGCTCTCTTCATTATTTCTTCTTTTTAGTTCATAGTTTCATCTCATGTAAATGTAAACTCTCTACATATACATGCAAAATACAAAACAATGGATGTAGCCGAAATTTATGAGTGAACCACTCAAATACTAGTGTTACGTATGTGATTGTTTCAATTCAATTTCACGCGCAAATAAATACTAAAGCTAGAAATTGTAATACCTATACATTTGTATTCTTATTTTGTTTCCTTTTCTGAATTTCTCTTCTCTTTTTAGATTAGGGTTCATCACAAAAGTGTACTACAATCAAGTAAAGTCTTAACTAGACACAACAATATAATCTTCACAGGTTCAAGCTCAAGCTCAATCTAAAACTAACAACACCTCTTGATTTCCTTATTCGACCTAATTCATATTGGGTCAGTAAGTTTAATTTTTTTTGGTATGTGTCAATGAGTGTAAAGTTTTTCTAGACCTGAGATATATAAAGATGTTCTTTTTCTTTTTTTTTTTAACCCAAAAACATATTAAATGTAAAATGATTTCAATTCTTTTTGGTTCCTAAAATGAAACTCCCTATCCTGAAAAAACAAAAACGACCTTCTGTCCTAGGATTTTAATGTTCGCTGTTGTTATTGACTTGATTTATAAAGAATTCTTCGCTATATCTATCAACAACGTCGCTTTGGCCGAGTGGTTAAGGCGTGTGCCTGCTAAGTACATGGGGTTTCCCCGCGAGAGTTCGAATCTCTCAGGCGACGTTTCTAAAATATTTTTGTCAAATTTTGTCAATCCGTGTTTTCCTTTTCTGTTTTTTAAATCTCTTTCCTCTTTTTCTGGAAGCGAGGTCGGGGCCTTCCCCGAGTGCCGCCTTCTCCGCCAACCACCTCATCTGGGTCTCGGCGACTTCGTCAGTCCAAACCCTTTCAAATCTTCTACAAGATCCAATTCTCATGAGAGCTCGGGACACGTGTTCGGCAGATAGAGCAACACTCAAAAAGGGCAATTTGTCCTTCGAGTAGGAAAGGAAGGAAACCCAGTCAATAATTTTGCATTTGGTCCCGTTGAAATTTGAACAGCCACTTGGAAATTTGAACAGCCACTTAGAAGTTTAATTGATTTCCCACTTGCGACCTCTAATCTAAACTAATAATAAACCGCACTTGGCCAAAATTTCAACATTTGCCCCCTAAAAAAAACAAAAACTGATGATTGATGACTGAGTGATGAGCACAGATGTAACGTAAACAACTACATAGCACTTGCAGATATCAATTTGCATGCCTTCTCCTCTACGGTGTCTTGACATTTTCCAACTCTCATCCATAAAATTTATGATTTATTTATTCATTACAAACTATATCAAGAGAGAGGGGAGAATCGAATCTAAGACATCGTTAAATCACTTGAGCTACAACTTCCTTACAAATTATTTTAGATTTTTTAAAAATAAATATATTTGTGCTAGCCGTCAAATTGTTTAGCACAACATGTGTCCTAAATGAAAGAAGCGAACAATATATATATATATATGAGATCGTCCAAGACGCTTTGTTTAAAAATTAGCTATGAAAGTTAGACCGTTTTGACTTGAGAATTTTATAAGCATAAAAATGTAAATCCCTTGGACTCTAGAATTTTATAGACGTCGGTTATTTGACTACAACAATAGCGGAGAGTCTCGAGCATATGCTTAAATTCAAATTGTAGAGGAACAAGGGCAACATCAATTTAAAATAAGAATATTATTTCCCAAAAGGAAAAGTAAGAATATTCCTTAATTGTTGGATGTGCGTTTCACCCAAAATTATCAATGCGAACAAATGCAGATAGTATAACTTACAAACTTGTGATCTAAAATTTAAATTCTCATAACACGATGTGAGAAACCTTCTTTCCTCTTCCTAATTTTGGCAACCAATTCCATATGCGTAACCTTTCCGATTAAATCGAACAGTAAATTATAATGTGAACTGATTTCCCTTTTTATTTTCTTTCTGTTTTTGTTTTTTGCTTTTTTGCCAAAATTTTCTCTGTTTTTGTTAATCATAAATGATTTGATTGGAGGCATTAGACGTTAGACAAAATAGAGTGGGAGGGCAGGGGGGCAGGACCCACAACCGCGTAAATATAGGATGAGTTGCAGGTTCGGATGTTTGTGCTGAAATCGCGTAAGAACCTAATTTACAGTTCTGCACCTTCTTTCCTAACCAGCCACCCAGCACTGGTTACCTTGTGCTATAAATATTCTCTGCTTCCTTCTCCAAACCATTCACCCTTCGTTTCGTTTCGTTTCGTGTGACTCTCATAGCATATGTCTCAGAGGCCCAGCGTTCCTCACTCTTCCTCCATAGCCTTCAGCCTCCATTCTCATCTCCTGGTCTCCAGTGAGATGAACCCAAACTCCAACTGGTCTTCTTTTTAATCATTAATTCCAAAACCAATTCAATTAATTCTTTAATTCTTTTCAATCTCTCATACCATACACAAAACCGAACCAACCCTTTTTTCTGTCTGTTTCTTGAGAGAATTCAACATGGGTGTCAAAGGTTTTGTTGAAGGAGGCATAGCATCCATCATTGCTGGGTGCACCACGCACCCTCTCGACCTCATCAAGGTCCGGATGCAGCTCCAGGGCGAGACCCACGCCCCCAACCCGAACCCTAACGCGGCTGTGCAAGCTGTCCGCCCGGCCTACGCCGCCGTCCACACCACCGCCGCTAGACGCGTTTCTATCCCTCTCCCTCCCCCACCTCCCCCTGCGGCGCGTGCGGGTCCGATTTCCGTCGGCGTCCGCATCATCCAACAAGAAGGCGTTGCCGCCATGTTCTCCGGCGTATCCGCCACCATGCTCCGGCAGACTCTCTACTCCACGACGAGGATGGGCCTCTACGACATTCTCAAGCAGAAATGGACCGACCCGACGACCCACAACATGCCGCTCCCGAGCAAGATCACCGCCGGGTTGATCGCCGGAGCCATCGGCGCCGCTGTGGGGAACCCGGCCGACGTGGCCATGGTCCGAATGCAAGCCGACGGTCGGCTCCCGGTGGCTGAGCGCCGCAACTACAAGAGCGTCGTCGACGCCATAGCCCGAATGGGGAAGCAAGAAGGGGTCACGAGCCTCTGGCGCGGGTCGTCGTTGACGATCAACCGAGCGATGCTCGTGACGGCGTCGCAGTTGGCGTCGTACGATCAGATCAAGGAGACGATCCTGGACAATGGGCTTATGCGCGACGGGCTCGGGACCCACGTGACGGCGAGCTTCGCCGCTGGGTTCGTGGCTTCGGTGGCGTCGAACCCGGTCGATGTGATCAAGACCCGGATCATGAACATGAAGGTGGAGGCAGGGGCAGAGCCGCCGTACTCGGGGGCTCTGGATTGTGCGCTCAAAACGGTACGCTCCGAGGGGCCTTTGGCGCTTTACAAAGGGTTTGTGCCTACGATTTCGAGGCAGGGGCCTTTCACTGTTGTACTGTTCGTGACGCTGGAGCAGGTTCGCAAGTTGCTCAAGGATTTCTGATCGTGGAAATGGACGGTTGTGATTTGATTCGATGTGTATCCTATGATGACGAAAAATAGTGCTTTTAGAATATATGAATAAATCATTTTTATTTATTTGTACTACGTTCCTATGGAATCTGATTTGATTAAACCTTTGGTAAAACAGAAAAAAGAATCAAATTTAACATACATAAAAAAAGAGCAAACATTCTAGCATGTGTTTGAAATGTTTTTCATGTTTTAAATATGCAAACCATGATTTACAAGTTAACAACACAACATATCAAATATTTTATACGACTATTTTTTGGGCATAGATAGATTTGAATATTGGCAGAGCCACAAAGGTGCAACCTCCCCTCGCTGAAAAACCCTATGGCAACTGCGAATATTGACTAGATTACTTTTTTTTTCTTAAATCCCAGGTTTGTAACAGAAAAAAGGAAAAAGGCCTACAACAACCCACCATTTATTTGAGCAGTTCATTTAAAAGCCATAGATGTTATTCTAAAAAAATTATTTGAATTGAAAGACCTATGCCATAGGTTATCATATCTAGGGAGTTTAATCATCTTCAGTTTTGTAACAAAGAGAGGAAAAAAAATGGTGCTTAGCAGTAAGAAAAAAATCTGCCCTTATCCCTTAGTCTAACCACTTATATAAATGTATTAGTATTATTTAAATTCTAATGGTATTTGGTTGTCTTTTTTTTTTCGGGGGATCAATATAGGAGCCCAAATTATAAAAAAAAAACTCTATATGAAATGGACTTTAGAAACACACCTAAAGCCTCAACAAGCTTTTAACTTCTTTTAAATTACAAAATTACCATTGATTTCTTAAAACAAACACAACCTCAAAACCTCATGAAAAAAGCCCAAAACACTCAATAGGGTATCAAAGTAATTTAATAATCAAAATTAAATTCAATATGGTCAGCTGTCATTTTTTGGGTTTTGTTTGAGTTTGTTTATAGAAATTAAATGGTGTAGGGTTTATCTATAATATTAGTGCTAAGAATGGGTATATAACTAAATATTATTTTTTTTAAAGAGCTTTAGTCTTTTAAATATTGCTTCCTCCTTAAAAATTATCTGGCACCGCCACTGAATTCGAAATAGAGTAGTTTCCACACCGAGAAATCAATTCTTTAGACTTTTAAGCATTTACTTGATGGACTACAACTAGTGATTCTCTCAAAATAGCTTATTTTGATTCTTCTTTTAATTGGGCATAAAATCATGACTACAACTAGTGATTGTCTCAATATAGTTGATTTTGATTCTTCTTTTAATTGGTAATATCATTGAACATGTAAAGTCGTTCTTACAACATTTGTCTGCAGTGCATTTTGTTTGCATGCCTCATTAATTGGGCGAAATTTGATATTTGAGTTGACAGTCTTAAAGTGCTAACGAATCCTCATGATTTTATTTAGGATTTTCATGTTTAGGAGCCTTAACAAGACAAAAAGGGACTACAATTGTTCGTGTGAAAACAATATTAAGATGAACATTATACAATAGATTGACTAATATTAAATATCAATGTGACATACTGACGTGGTGTAACGATTCTGTCCAAATTATAAAAATGTGTATTGTTATTAGTATAAACCATAAACGTTTAATGGTGAACCTAAGACTCAAATACACGTGTTATATAAATGATATAAATTCAATGCACCACATAAAAATGTCACATGGTAAATAGAATAGACTCAAAATGAATTTCATAAACTAGTAATGAACGGCTCCATCGGGTAGCTTATACGGGTTGACATTGAAATGATTCATTAAAAAAAAAATTGGGAGTCAATTCGAATTCGTTTATATTAACATAAAATTTATGTCAATTTTAAATTATGATATCTTAATTCAGTATCGTGTTGTTTCAAGAGCCCTCAACCATCCTTGCTTTCACCCACTAATTTATTTATTTATTTATTTCCCACCAGCTGTTGCTTGCCTAATATATTGTATTGGTGCTGTCATTTTCTTTTTTAGGGGTGAGTTGCCACTTTCATCTATATATATATAAAGCAAAAGACAGAGAATGGTGAAACATTCAAAATACCAAAAAATATCCTTAGTTAATGCAAATATTAAGAATTAAAATTATTAATTAAATGAGGATAATATGGTAAATTCACATTTTTTCATATTAAATTTTTAAAAAAATTAAAAGAAAAATTAGATAATGGATTTTGTTTTTTATGGAACACAACTACTCATTATCTTTTTTAATTCTAAAATAAATTTTTAAATTTTTAAAAAATATCTCTCGTAAGCGCGGAAGCACGTGCGGAGAGTCTAATTATTATTATTATAAAAATTAAACAATTAGGACAAGGAAAATGGAGAAATATAACCAGAATGAAGGAGAGCACATGGAAATTAATTTGGGCGCATCCAAATAGTCCAAATTGCTTGTGGGGCCTTGAATGATCCATCCTTTATACGGATGCCGCGAATGGTTCATGTTTTATGGACCCCAGCCATTCACAGTCACCGTAATTCATTCCTTGCCCCATGGAGTCAATACACACGGACTCATCCGAACCGTACACGTGGTCAATGAGTGTTGACTTGGAAGCAGGATCCTAGATTTGGATGACCATAAAAAAGATCCATACAAATATCCTAGAATATATCATTAAACTAATAATATTTACTGGGTTTATGCTGGATGACGTCCCCAGCATTATGCACCAATCACTCAGTTTCAGTTTCAGTTAATTGGTAGTCTAATTTAATTATTAATTTTTTGTGAGATAGATAGATAGATCTCATGATTTATTTATGATTTGTTTGTAATCATACTATATTAAGATGATTTGCATCGTTCAATGGGGTCGGGGCCTAATTATCATTGCTGGTAGGTTTTGGAAATTTCCTGGAAAGTGGTAGGCCTCGAACAGCTTTACAAAATTGACAGGATATAGTGTTTAATAGGTATTCAATGTACCATTGATTGTTGATGTACCAAGTTCAATTATTGGATTCTCAAATGAATAATAGTACTACCTATAGTAGTCTTTCTTTTACGGCACTCATATAGTATTTTGAAAACTACAATTACCATTTACCACGCTTTGAAGTCTTCATAGAGTACTTAAGTTCGATTCCTTCTTTCCTTGCTGATTGAAACAAGATAATGTTACTCCAAGGCTGTCCTTAGATCTGAATTCGAAATCATGATTGGGTTATACGTTTGAAAGTAGTTTGTTAAGATTGTTTTTGTATTTCAAACTCTGCGATAAGAATAACCTCTTAAAGGAGGTGCCTATCTTATCTTTGTAACTGAGCTCTTGTATAACTTGTTTATAAATACAAATCCTCCATCACATTGATGAATCATTCAACCAAGACATGTGTTTGATATTTTATATGGTATCAGAGCCGATTAGCTCACGTGTGAAAGCCTAACGGCCACACGTGCTCCATGTCACCCAATATGTGTTGTTCATGTGTTAGACTTGAAACGTATCATTTAGTTATAACAATTTGGATGTTTAAGTCGGTGATCTCTACATAGTCCCACCTTATCTACTTACACATTTTTTTTTCTTATTTTGTTTTTGGATCACCAAATAAATAAAATCAAAATCAAAATAGAAAAACTAGAAGAGGAGCGTGAAAATCGCTACCTAATTTGTATCCAATAGTTTACAACATCATATAGTTACATATTGTAACATTTAACGGCAAGTTCTTATTCATTCTTATATTCTACTGTTAGGTATACAAAGTTCAGATAAATAATGAAAGGTTACAAGTCACACTTTCTCTTTCATCAATTGATGAAGTAAAGAGTCTTTCTCTTTTCTTATCTCCTGGCAGATCTTGTAAAAAGAATGGTATGTGCACCGAATCTACACGAAAGTTTCTACATCCCATCATAACTAGAAATCAAATAAAAATCTTATGTCTGGTAGGATGTCAACTGATTTGTGGACCATAATGTATGTGACAATGCAATTCTCCACCATAGAAAAATATTTTCTTTTTCTTTTTGTGTGTTTTCCCCAGCAGCTAGAAAGCAAATCCCATATAGAGTTATTGCAATATCAATTTGTTTGAATCAAAGTGGAACAAGATGGGACGCCAAGAAGCGCTATTGATTTAACCCCATTATTCCCAATAATTCAGAGATTAAAATCTCCGTAACCATCATGAACATAACATTTAATACGATTAAAAGTTCGATAAGTGTGTTCGTAACATTGTCACGTGGTATTATTAGTTCATATGTTTTACATAAATGAGTAACGATTTTAGAGTTTTTAATTGAAGTGGGAGAGATTCGAACTTGAGACATCTCTAAGAAAGTCAAAACAAAAGAATTGGAATTGTAAGAAGTATAAAAAACTATCACAATACAATTATGAACCATACAAAACTATTACAATTCAATTATGATAGTGTTGTGTTGTTCAAGCCTATTGTGGGCATACTTTCTGACAATAAGAATCGCCACGGAGGTCATGGCGTTACGTAAACTACGACTCAAAATTGACAAATACTTGCTGTTCAAAACTTTGTGGTTTGTGTTGTAACTTGAATCCTTTAGTTCTATTATTTCCCAGCCATTCTTCAACGACTGTAGTTTGGTGCTCCATATCATATTCAGCACCCTTACAACATGGAATGTATTTCCTTCATAGATTGTGGTGGCTCCAGGTCTTTTTCTTTCAATAAATTTCCACGCAGTCGCTGCATTTCTGATGCAAATATGTCATCCAACTTCTGCCAATTCAAAAGCAATGTATATGGTTTAAAAAGAATGAAAAAGAAAATTAAACCAAATCTAGCTTCAAATTCTGCAAGGATGATATAGGCTCCTGGAACATGTAGAGATATTCAATATCCAACAGAAACTTCAATGGTTGAAGAACAAACTTACAGAAACTGCAACTCGCAAGCATTTGCACTGGGACACCGCCTTCTTTCTTTTATCTTCCAACAGATGCAGGACATCCTACAGAAACCAATTGGATATGAATAAAATTTATATGCTAATCCAAGAGAGAGCTTGTAGGGTAAAAAATTAGTTTATTTACCTGTCCCATCCGGTCCCATAACTCTCGACAGAGTTCTACAAACACAGTAGGATCACAAACAGTGTGGAGATGATCTACTGTCTCTAGCAAAAGAACCTCTAGAGCCTGCATTCTACTTGGGACAACTGATTCCTTGCCCTTCGAGCCTCGAATAATTTTCTTTAACTTTGTTTTACCATCAACTCTAGTCTGTATTTAGTTACATGGAAATGAAACAAAAAGCATTTACTCATCATACTCATATATTAATGGTCATAAAGAATTGTAGTAAGCAACAGATAGACAATATTGTTAAACTAAGAAATTCAGCTGCAAATTTTTACTCACATTCTCAGCAAGTTTCTCCACAACTGCTAGTCGGTAGCTTCTAAATTTGGTCCTGAGCATCGCAGCTTCGTCTTGTAGACGTACTCCTGTGGCATATCCATCAGGGCTGCAAGAGCTCCATGACATCAACCGGGTTTCTATGTTGGGCCACAAGACATCTAACATCCTCTTCATGGAGTTAAAAAGAATTCCCAACTGAAGAACAATACATAGGATATTGATGAGTGTTGAAAGAAAGATAAAATTCCAAGTAGCCATTCAATTGTGAAGCAGAGTCTCACCTCATCTGGGACCGAATACATGTTCCCGCCCTGTCTGGATAATTTATGGACGTATTTGAAGCCTAATATTTTGTTTGTCAGATTATCCTTCAGCGGGGATAAAACATCACCATAGTTCTTGTCCAAAGCTTCCACAATTGCCTTCTCAACATCGGCAACAACCTTTTTGAAACATGAATAGTCTCCAAGTATTAGTCATACAATTTCAGGTTCAGAATGAAATAACAAAGAAAAACGCTGTTTACCACAGTCAGAATTGAGTATTCTTGTTTATATCGCTATGGCTATAAACACTTTCCTTTTCCTATTAACAAAACATCCCCTTTTTCTATAGAAGGAACCATGCATTAAAAAATAAACATAGGAGAAAAAGTTGAGAGTTGAGAGATAGATTGCACTTACATTCTCCAAATCAGATGTATATACTGGCCACCGACTAATGATGATTTCAAATTCATCGAGCATTTTCTTCAGCTGATTGTGCATATCATCAACAAAAGGGGTTGTACCGTCTTGTGTTCTGGCACCAGACCATTTTGCCTGAAATTGATCAATTTCTAGTAAATTTCCACTCGGATTGTATTCAAGAAATTCCATTCAACACTTGGATTGCATTCTACTGAGCTACCAATAAACACAACTTGCACCGAACTTTGAGCAACACTAGAAATATAAATCCAAGCTATATAGAGATGTATACCTTATCTAGCTTGCACTGGTCAAGCAAATGACGGTGCTTGTCCTGAATCCACATGGTTATATGCGAGTGAAACAGCTCTTTGGCATCAACTCCACCTTTAACAGGGCTGAAAATAGTTTTACATTAGTAGAGATACAAAAGGTAATTAAAAACACAGATTAAAACCAGACAAATCACTCACTTGATGTTCCACAAAGAAAGATCCTGTTGAAATCCTGCGGTTGCAATAACAAGTTCTGCAACTGGAAGCGATAGGCTTCGAGGAGGGCATGCAACAAGGAAAGCACGCAATCTATTGCAGAGGTTAAAACTGTATATGCATGAAGAAATTGTTGGAAGGTCTATACAGCTGCACAACAATTAATAAAGAAAAATAATTAGTATACATAACAGAGGCATATTCAGTTATTCACCAGCCATCAGCTCTGGAATTTCAATACCAAGCTTAATTACTAAACAAACGAGTGAAAAAGACGAGGTCACACATCAAAGGATGTGGCCATAAGCACATTCTCTGTATCCCAAGGATGTGGCCACAAGAACAAAATAGACTGCTACACAGAATGTCATACATACCTTGGGAGGATACCTTGCTTGTGGATTTCTATGTCAGTCAGAATTTCATTTCTAAGACCCAAAATCAGAGATTTCATTTTCTGATAAGATGTAGAAAGGTCTCTCTGTGTTCCCTCGTTACTGGTTAGAACCAGCTCATCTATCTCTACACAGTGCATTCTTAACCTCTTTTGTGCAGCGACCTGTAAAGCCATTTGGATTTTAATAAAAGTATAAAAACGTAAGGGGAGGCTCATGCATGGAGAAGTTAGCTTCTAATACCTGGAAAAATTTGCACAATTTCAACTGTGCCTCAGGACTCAAAATATCATAAAGAAAGGCATATAGCTGGACAGCAGGCACCAAAGCAGGCGCAGCCGTTCCACTGGCGGGCCTAAAACAATCCACCATCCCTGACAGTGCAGATTCTTCAAGTGACTTGTAGTTCTCAAAAACTGAAGCAAGAGTCTTCTTTACTTGATCCTCGATCTTTGCCAGCATGCAGTTCTGCTTGAAATATAATTTTAAGTTACAAGAGGGGAAAAAAATATCTATTATCCATGTCAAACATGAAGGAATACAAACTGAAGAAAATTGCAAGTTTTTAAACTCAAAAATTAATATCAAGGCCAAAATTAGTAATGAAAGTATAAAATATACAAAATATAATGTATAATTGGTTGTCCCCATGGAGGATGAAATGCATGACCAGTTTACTCAAATGCCATGAGAAAATAAATACCAATTGCCTCAAGGCAATTGTGAAATAATTTTAACAGCCCCAAAAACTGAAGAGATAAGTGAAGGTACAAGGAGAAGCAATTTCTCAACTAAGAATTGAAAAGGAAAACAAAGCTTGAGCCCAATGCAGTCAATTCTCATACCTCTTGATAACTTAACAGATTTGTGCTCTTGGCCTTCACGTCTGATAGCAAATCATGTACTGAGGTGAGACAGTCTTTGGTAGGTGTAGCGACATCCATGACATAGGAAAGGTATCTGCAAGCAGCATGGAAAATTATACATAATAGAAGTTAGAAGATCCACAATTAGGTAATATTCCCAAGTTACCATTCTAACATATTTCACTACCTTAAATTGGTGTATGTCTTGGATACTCCGTAGTATGATGCAAATTCAGTCACTAACCACCTCCATGAGCCATGTAACAACAAATTTCTTTGCTGAAAATGTTGAACCTTCATTGCAACTTCTAATGCACAGTCATATGCAACAGTTTCTGCGATCGAGCCATGCTGGACATGGAAAGAAGTGAAATAAATATCATATATACATCGAATTCCAAAGATATGTGAATCAGTTTTCAAGAAAGAATTTAGCTATTGTACTGTAAAACCATAAACCATTGTGAAACAACTTAAGTAATCTCATTGTAAAAGAAAAAAATTCAGATATTTCTGGACCATAAGATCTTATATAGGTACCTTAAGATTATTATTTTCATCTGGACTACTAGAATACTTCATGCTTAATTGTATTCTGCCGACAGGTTCATCGTCTAGATCACTACTATATATAGGCCACCATCGTATCTTGTCACCCTGCATTAAAAAAAAAATGTTTAGTTCTAAAGTACAACTATCAACCTTCCTTCTTACAGATGATAAGTAAATTACTAGTTTCTGAAAACTGTACTGGTTCAGCAATAGCAGTCACTTTGACTAAGGCATGACCACAATGTTGTCCCTTGGAATTTTGAACTTGTATAATCAAATCATCACCATTGCTATGTGGAAACCTGTACAAACGCAGTTGTTTAACGATACAGGTATGGAACCATATGAAAGGGTAAAGAAAAAGAAAACAGAAAGGACAAGAGTACATACAGCACGCGGGTTTCACTTGATCCGGGTTGCATCTGTATTGCATCCTCTTCAGGTGAACTTGTCAATCTCAAGAAGCAGGAATAAGTTTCTGACAGAAAAAAGGTCAGCTAGTGTCAGATGCTACTCAAAGAAAAGAAATCTAACTTGTAGTATGAAGAAAAAAACATTACATTTCTGGATTCAGACTATGCTTGAATTCGTTTTAGGAGCTAAATTAAAAAAGGTATTAAACCAAATGCAGAGATCAATGCCACTTTCATGTCATAAATATGGTGAGGATGTGAAGTAAAGAATTGTCCCGTATCGGAAAATTAAGGGACCTTGACGGGCTTATAAGGAGTTGGGCTACTCCCCCATTGCCAATTGGTTTTGGGGTGGAACCTCAACTTCCTTCTTTACTGTCGCCACATGTGAGGGGGCGTGTGAGGACGTGAAACATATCTTCCAGACCAGATTGGCTGCTACCAAGGGTGAGCTACTAATTCCAGCTAGATGGGCTAAATGTCAAGCTGGTTATTTCTTTAAACAGAACACTCAACTCAAGTTAGCCTTAACTGGAGCTAGCAACATAAATCTACTACTGTCATTCGTTAATATCTAAGACCACTTAAGGCTTAAACTGTACAAAATATTTGCATACCTTGCACTATTTCATACGATGAAGAACGGTTGCACAAAGTATTTGTCCTTGTTTTTAGGAAGCTAGATCCTTGTTTTATACGTTTCGCTCCAGCCTCTAGGCAAGATAAGCTTTGATGAGAAAAGGAACCATTTGGAGGAACACGAGGTTGTAGATAATGTTTCCTTGTAGATTTCAACCCAGAAGATAAATCTGATCTTAAACTGTATAAGCGTCTACGATAAGAGCCATAATCAATCCTTGGTAGTTTTGGAGTGCAGCCAGAAGGTGGTATCCTTGGTAGTTTCGGAGATGGGAAACTGCAGCCAGAAGGTGGTTCATCTGAATCCATTTTCACTCTACGAACTGTAGAATGCCGAAATTCCAATGAGATGGTGATGACCAAAACATTTTGACAGAAAAGTAAACTGAGCAAGTTAACCAAGTAGTGTACCTTGCACTTTTATTTTGCCAGAAGTTTTCAGATGTCTTGGAGCTGCTGACGTACTGAGTAGCTGTGAAGGTCGTCGTTCTGCCAAAAGCTCATCTTCTGATTGTAATAATACATGCTGTAAACTGAAATTGCAGGTGTGAGTAGAGGAATGATTAGGTTAGTGAAAGGCCTAAAACATATGATATGACATTTCCATAAAATAAAATAAAAAAGTAGTGCTGCTGCATGCATAAAAAGACTATAAAAGACAGAGACACTTGATCAATAAAATGTAAAACTGGGTTTCCTAAAATCCTATTGACAGATACAGCAAAGACTCAAGAAGTTGACACATCAATATCCCATTCATAACTGTTATTTACAACGGTTAGACACAAATTCACCTAAGCCCTGCCTTGCACTTCCAAACTACTCATATTCATATACAACTACCAGGCAAAAGATTTAGTATGTAAATAATGTGAAAATGAAACAAAAAATAAAGGAACTATACTCACCCAAATGCATCTCGCAACAGTGCGCACTCGTTCTCCAAGAAACATTGAACTTCAGTGCAATAAGACTGAGCCCATGCATGAAGACAGACCCTAACACATGCATCATAAGCAATTACCGCACACCAAGTGCCCTGCACACTGAATGCATGAAACACAAAAGTTAAAACAAATGATAGAAACAACTACTGAATCAGTCAGATAACAATAAAATGTACTCACTTGAATTTTTCTAAATCACTAAGATTCAAATATCAAAAACCAACTACTTATGTGGTTATTCTAATACATTTCAGCTATGTAACCAACCTTGCATGAAATACTGGTAGACGAGCAGGTGACCGAATTGGAGATCCGTGAACTTTTACACCAGCAGAAGTCCTGCAATTCTTAATAGTCAGTTTATAGTTCCCCAGCAATGTCCTGTAGAGAAACAAAGAAACAGACCACAGCCACAAGAAACAGCCGTACACAAACCTGATTGGTGAGTTAGAACTTCCATTGCTGGAAGCATAGTGTATAGAGCTGTCAGAAAAGACACTTTCTGCTTTTCTTGAACCATTTGTGTTTGCAGGAACCATACAATTTGAAGAGTGACTTGTGTCATGTGCTCTAAGAGGTGAACTTGGCTCATCAGCATACTCAATCTCCAAAACAGGAGCTCTGGGATTATTACTAGAAATATTCTTCTTCAGCTGTGCTGCCAGACGATCCCGCACCACCTACATAGATGTTAGCGGACTGTTGAGTAAAACTACAATCAACTATGCAATAGTTAGAAAGCAAATTGTTCTCTAAAGGCAAACAAAAAAAAAGGCTTTTTAGAAACAAACAACAGGCATTGATGAAAAATAGAATATGTATGCCAATTAATTCAGCTGTGCCTACTTTGTTAGAATAACTTTCTAGAATCACAATTCGTTTCAGCGCGTTCTCTCACCACACCAAAAACCTTAACTAGTTATGTCTCTTCAAAAATGGTCCATACTAACTTAGTTTAAATAAGAATGCATTTCAATTTACATGCATGAAGCTTTAGAAACAAGTACATATAATGGTATCAATTAATATCAACAATTTTCCACTTGACAGCCTATCCTAACAAAAGGAAAAGCTTATTCACCATTATGCTTTGTTTCAATGTCATACAACCGAATAGCACCCACGAAAAAGGTAAAAGATAAAACCAAAAAGAAGCATCTTGTATCAAGAATAAATACAATTGTGAAAAAGGATAAAACCTGATTATGCTTGGATCTTGTTTCCATATTTGCCTGCAAAGTAACACTAGCAGAATAACCATTCGAAGTGTATGGCCATCTCGGGGCACCATCATTGTTCCTTTCCGGTTGGCTGAATGCAAATTCAGTACTCGTATCTGAATCAGACAATTCAACTTCTATAATTTCAGGACATGTAACTCGGTTACTTCCACAATTCCCATCCACGTCTGAACCAAACCCGCTTTCGACACCATTCACGGTTACTGCTGAAGAAGGCAATTCGAAGCCCCCTCCTTTCCTTAAGTTGTTGACAGCAGACTGTACTCTCTGTAACCAAACTAAATCATTAGAAAATCTTTATGCATGCAGAGCCTAGTCTCTAGAACAAACTTGCAAGAAGCACACAAACACACACTCGGCGAGTAATCGAATCAAAGACTAGAACTTTCAACTGAAGATGCTAAAAGAAAGGGTGAAGTTCATTAGGCTTACCTCTCCAACCCATCTTAGGCTATTGGTGTCCAGCCCTCCAGTGAACACCATTATGAAGTCTCCTTCTCACCTAATAAATTCAACAACATAAACAAACTCTTAGTAAGAAAAGTAAAAGGCTCTACAGTAGAAAAAACTTACAAAGAACCAGACTTTATTACATTATACGCATGAAAGAGAACAAGGGGAAGAAACCCAATACCGAAATCAAAACTGCTTTGCAGAGAAAAACTCAGAAGCAACAAAGATGACAACTTTTATTGGTTCATGAGATGTACAAGGTAAATATACCACACACTTGAGCTTTGCAGAATCAATTGGGAACCAAAACAATGCATGAATCCCTTTTACAATCTGGAATTACAATCACGTAATCTGTGATCAACCAAGTGATTTATGTATTTATTATAGTTACCTAGAGCAAAACAGAGATGATATTTGCTTTTTTGACCAAAGAGACTTACTAGAATCAATCAGGAAACTTGTCAGAAATTTACTTGCCAAAGATGAGCCTACTTTATAACTTGGAACAGAAGACTTACCCAGAAGAAAATCATGTAAATCTTTTTATAGGAAATCTCTAAAATTTTCTGGCTTTTGCTTCCTCTCTCACTCTCTTTCCTAAATCCTACTTGATTTCATTCCTCTCACTTCCAGGAAACCTTCCTTTTCTCTCTTGGTGTCAATTCCCTCGGCTTTTCGATATTTCAAAAATTAGAAAGTATTTTGTTTTGGTCTCAAAATATGAGAAAATCAAACTACATGTCAGTCCAAAATCTCCAATACGATTATTAAGAAGACGAACAAATTAATGATGAGTCTTTCCAATGAAGATACAGAGGATTTTTTATTTTTTTTGGGTTCGGATACAGAAGAGGATTTAAAGGAGACGTGCGAACTATGCGAGGCTGACGTGGCATATGCAAAGTTGCTTCTCATAACGGTTGAATTTCTTAATGGCGCGTATTTTTCATCTCTTGTTTAGGGTTCAACAATTTAGCACCGACTTAGACTTTTTTTTGTTCTTTTCTTTTTTCCTTTGTGTCTTGGAACTTGTACAACTTTTATGTTTACTTATCAGGAATGAGAGTTGGAATGATTTCAATTCCTGCTTCTCATGTGTTTATTAACAATGTATACGATTATTAAGAAGACGAACAAATTAATGATGAGTCTTTCCAATGAAGATACAGAGGATTTTTTATTTTTTTTGGGTTCGGATACAGAAGAGGATTTAAAGGAGACGTGCGAACTATGCGAGGCTGACGTGGCATATGCAAAGTTGCTTCTCATAACGGTCGAATTTCTTAATGGCGCGTATTTTTCATCTCTTGTTTAGGGTTCAACAATTTAGCACCGACTTAGACTTTTCTTTTTCTTTTTTCCTTTGTGTCTTGGAACTTGTACAACTTTTATGTTTACTTATCAGGAATGAGAGTTGGAATGATTCCAATTCCTGCTTCTCATGTATTTATTAACAATGTTCATTAGATTAAATATTTTTTTCTTAATTCACCTATCTAAATTTTTTGATTTATAACTTACCTATTCTTAGTACGTAAACATCACTTTTTGGTCCTCGTCCTTCCTTTACCATTTTTCTGTCGCAAGAGTAAGAATGCGAGGGATGGCAAACATTTCCTATCCGCAACCCTATTTCCGGGATCATGAGTATGTAATATTATGTTTACTTAGTAATATTTGAAAATTTTAGAATACTTGAATCCGAATCCAGAAATAAAACATTCTCCATTCCCGCCCTCATTCCCGATTCTTTCCCGCCAAGCAAGGCCCATTCAAGGCAGTGCCTTGCATTAATTAGGATATGTGGTCTACACTAATGTAAACTTTTCCATGAATTAGGATATTAGGTGATGTTTGATATACTACAATATCGTGAGGAATAACGTTTAATTTTGTTTCTTCTTTTCCTAGTACAAAGGAAAATAAAAACAGAGATGATATTTGCTTTTTTGACCAAAGAGACTTACTAGAATCAATCAGGAAACTTGTCAGAAATTTACTTGCCAAAGATGAGCCTACTTTATAACTTGGAACAGAAGACTTACCCAGAAGAAAATCATGGAAATCTTTTTATAGGAAATCTCTAAAATTTTCTGGCTTTTGCTTCCTCTCTCACTCTCTTTCCTAAATCCTACTTGATTTCATTCCTCTCACTTCCAGGAAACCTTCCTTTTCTCTCTTGGTGTCAATTCCCTCGGCTTTTCGATATTTCAAAAATTAGAAAGTATTTTGTTTTGGTCTCAAAATATGAGAAAATCAAACTACATGTCAGTCCAAAATCTCCAATACGATTATTAAGAAGACGAACAAATTAATGATGAGTCTTTCCAATGAAGATACAGAGGATTTTTTATTTTTTTTGGGTTCGGATACAGAAGAGGATTTAAAGGAGACGTGCGAACTATGCGAGGCTGACGTGGCATATGCAAAGTTGCTTCTCATAACGGTCGAATTTCTTAATGGCGCGTATTTTTCATCTCTTGTTTAGGGTTCAACAATTTAGCACCGACTTAGACTTTTCTTTTTCTTTTTTCCTTTGTGTCTTGGAACTTGTACAACTTTTATGTTTACTTATCAGGAATGAGAGTTGGAATGATTTCAATTCCTGCTTCTCATGTGTTTATTAACAATGTTTATTGGATTAATTGTTTTTTTTCTTAATTCACCGATCTAAATTTTTTTATTTATAACTTCCCTATTCTTAGTAAGTAAACATCACTTTCTGTCCTCGGCCTTCCTTTACCATTTTTCTGTCACAAGAGTAAGAATGCGAGGGATGGCAAACATTCCCTATCCGCAACCCTATTTCCGTCGAAGATGGGATCATAAGTTTGTAATATTATGTTTTTTATTTTTTTTGGGTTCGGATACAGAAGAGGATTTAAAGGAGACGTGCGAACTATGCGAGGCTGACGTGGCATATGCAAAGTTGCTTCTCATAACGGTCGAATTTCTTAATGGCGCGTATTTTTCATCTCTTGTTTAGGGTTCAACAATTTAGCACCGACTTAGACTTTTCTTTTTCTTTTTTCCTTTGTGTCTTGGAACTTGTACAACTTTTATGTTTACTTATCAGGAATGAGAGTTGGAATGATTTCAATTCCTGCTTCTCATGTGTTTATTAACAATGTTTATTGGATTAATTGTTTTTTTTCTTAATTCACCGATCTAAATTTTTTTATTTATAACTTCCCTATTCTTAGTAAGTAAACATCACTTTCTGTCCTCGGCCTTCCTTTACCATTTTTCTGTCACAAGAGTAAGAATGCGAGGGATGGCAAACATTTCCTATCCGCAACCCTATTTCCGGGATCATGAGTATGTAATATTATGTTTACTTAGTAATATTTGAAAATTTTAGAATACTTGAATCCGAATCCAGAAATAAAACATTCTCCATTCCCGCCCTCATTCCCGATTCTTTCCCGCCAAGCAAGGCCCATTCAAGGCAGTGCCTTGCATTAATTAGGATATGTGGTCTACACTAATGTAAACTTTTCCATGAATTAGGATATTAGGTGATGTTTGATATACTACAATATCGTGAGGAATAACGTTTAATTTTGTTTCTTCTTTTTCTAGTACAAAGGAAAATAACGAAAAATGGTAATATTCAAAACTTTACCCTTGAATGTAAGTATCAATGGTCTCTATCATCTCTATCTTGAGCTATAAGCTCCCACTAAAAATATTTACTTCATTGCTATAAAACTTCATGAATCGGCCTTGAGCTCCAAAGGCCAGACCCGTCCTAAGCCTTGGAGTTCAGCGCCAAGAACCAAAACCCAACCCACACCCGCCAGACCCGTCCTAATTCTTGGAGTTCAGCGCCAGGAACCAAACCCCGAACCACGACATCCGGAAAGGCCTGGAACCTCATATCCTAGGGCTATATCTACAGACCTCAGCTCAGGAACTCAAGCCCCTGATCCCATAAAAAGAAATAACCTACTCGGTGCAAAACTGAGAAACAAAAACCAATTTTGAGAGCCCAGTAGCTCATCTGAGAGCTCTTCCTTCTTTAGTCTCTGTTGTAGTTGGTTTCATACCTCTTCAGTTGTGTACGCAAATTCGTTGTGCCAGATGATACAATGTCCAAAAATTAACAGAGCTTTTGCCCTCTTCTTTTCGGGTTAACGGTAATTCAAGGCGGGTCTCCCACTAAAGAAAGACCAATGTTGGTTTCAAAAGAATTTTTTTCCTCAGGTAATACATACCATTATTCAGTATAAAGGAAACAAATTAAATTTCTATTAACATTCAGACTTCTTCCTTTTCATGTGCATTTATTACTGGTCTTTTGGCTTAAGCTACACCACAGAAATAAACAGAATTTTAGCTGTGAAAAAGTAAAGAAACTGGATCCAAAAATTGTTGGATCCAGATCCAGATTCCAGCTAACAAATGCTAATTAAGGCATTAGCCTAAGTGAGAAGACGGTGAAGCAAGATAGAACAAACAAAAACCACATGATCAAGATCTAAACCTTCTAAAACCAATAACTAATATATAATTTGCCTGTACTGGAAACGAATTAAACTCTACATTCATAAGTTTGTGCAGCAACAACCTGCGCGACAGCATATCAGTCATCATCTGACCCAAGAACCTGCTGCTTAAGAACCTGAATTTTAGCAAACAACTCCTCCCTGTTTTCCTGCGAGGCAATAATTGCCGTTAAGCATGCTTTAAAATGGCTTATTAACCTAACAGCCAATTAGTTAATAAGGTGGAATTTGCCACTAAGTCTATAACTACCTTGAATATCAGATACCGAGTGCTGAACCAGATTGTGTATCCAAGACCCACAACTTCCAGCAACTTAGGGAACTGAATCATATGGTGACCAACGTCAATATCCCAGAGGAAGGGAAACCTTCAAAATTGCAGATTAGGAAATTTAAATAGAAACTGACCAATGGAATAGAATCAATAGCTCCAACAACAGCTGATGCTAGCCACAGGGCAAACAAGGCACCACCACCATAAATTAGAATGGCATATGTATCATCACTGTCCAACTGCAA